CCAGCTGCCAGTGATTCCCAAGAGGGCTCTTTTTATGATGTGCTGGAACGACCTCCTGTTCTCAGAGGTGCAACTGAAGTACTGTGCTGGGATGCATCATGTGATGGCAGATACTGCTGTACACCTGTACAAACTGACCGGCAGCTGTTATTGGAGTTGTGCTTTCTTCAGGCTCCTTAAGACGTGGTGCCTCTGAGGACTTTCATTAGCCATCACTCATGAACTGGTGGCCCACAAGAGATCTTTGCTGTTATGTACTCTAAGGAAATGGAAGCTGTGAACTTCCATCACTTAAAGTGCAGGAACAGTTCTTTTGTTTTTGTAGAGTTCAGGGCAAAGTTGTTGTTTGAGCTCCTGTCATGATCCGGGTGAGTGCATGTATTTTTCCATAGAGCTGGTGGTTCCACCTCTGGGCGGAGTCACGGCGTTCCAGCGTGCTGCTCCACAATCAAGCTGCTGGTGCTTAAAACCAGCACTTGCAACTACTCTTTGCCAGATCTTCAACTAACCTGTGTTAGTGTAGGCCGCCACAGCACTTGTTCAATTTATCATAGCGATTATCTCTGCTTACCTTGTGTTCTCTTTCGTAATGCACTTGGTCACCTCAATCAAACCTTAACAACACTCACCTTCATTAGGACACTGGTCTTCTCTGCAGCTTCTCTGTCATAGCTCATGCTCACTTCACTCACCTGCCTGCCTCCCTGCCTTGGCTACTTAGATTTCTTGGATCACCTCTGTCTGGATTTACCTCTGTTCACCCAGACCGCCTACCCTCTCCATGTTGCTCTATACCATTACTCCACCTGCAACAAGTAAGACATTTCATGTCCTCATTTTCACTTACCTGAACTGCACTGAACCTTTGTCTCCTCTCATTACAATTACCCTATGGGGCAAATTAGAATCACCATTTAAACTCCATCCATCCATCCATCTCTTCCGTTTATCCAATTCAGGGTCAGGGGGGATTGGAGCCTGTCCCAGCTACCGTAAGACTAAAAGCAGGGTACATCCTGGACAGGTTGCCAGTCTGTCACAGGGCCAACATATAGAGACAGACAACCATTTGCACTCACAATCACACCTATAGGCAATTTAGAATCACCAGTTAACCTGACCCAAATAACTGCATGTCTTTGGAGGAAGCCAGAGTACCCAGAGAGAACACACACAGACACATGCAAACTTCAAACGAGTGTGTACATTTTAAAACTCTCTATGCAAAATGTGGTACTGTATTGCAAGTGACACTTTGAAAGTGCAACAATCACAATGGAAAGTTGCTTCTTAGAAAGCCCCGTTTCTTTCCATAACTGTGTTGCTGTACAAATACAGATGTAATCAGGATGTTTATGGCTGTTTCAATGAAAAAAAAATCGACTCTGAAATCTGATTTTAATCTTCAGGGTTGTTTCAAACATGTCCCCAATTGTTCAAACATTACTTGTGATATTAATCGCTTTTTGACAAAATATCGTGAAGCCGAGTGAAACCAATTCACCCATTGTGCAACCCTGTTGGTTTTGAAAGTGTGCCATATTGATTTTTCCAAATATTTAGGCTTGTGTATTAAATTGTTAGTACTAGGTTGAGTAATATTTAATAAAACATTGCAATGATAAACACATGCCCCGTTATCCAATTATACAGCAAAGCATGTGCTGTGTAGGTGTCAGTGTCTTTACATTTGTGTATGCTGTTTCGCTTTTGCATGTGCGCATGTGAGTGAACATAGTTGTGCATAACTTTGTTTATCTGTGTCACAAAAACAGAGCAGAGTTTCTGTTGGCATGCTGCCTCGGCTCGAACCGCAAACTTAATCTCTTGCTCTTCTTTTTTTCTCTTCATCTCCTCTTTCTTCTTCTTTTTTGTTGTCTCCCTGCCTTGAATGTCAGCCTCTTCATCAAAGACACAAGAACGTCTCCAAACCCTTTGTAAAAGAAAAGTTTTTGTTATTATATTTATTCTCTACTCTGGTCCCAAGTTTGCTTTTGCTTTTATTTTTCTTGCTCTTCATGCAACTGATGTTAAAGATAAAGTGGATGTTCCTTTGGGCTTTTTACGATGATCTTTGGCCTTGTGTCGCAGCCATGTGATAGCGATACTAGTGAGGAATGCAGACAAGCTTTGAAAGACTTTTCCCTTTTACTCCAAGCAGTGACATAGCTGAAAGCAAAGCACAATTTGAAACACAATAAATCAATGTGGGTTTCACTGGGATTATGATAAGAGGGGAAAAAAATTAGTAAAACCGGCTTGTTGAATTATGGGCTGTCTGCTTTTACTAAAAGCCACGGTCTTGATCCTGAATCTGTATAAATAATCACTGGGAAAATTAGGATTACTTGAGCATATAAGGTATCGGTCAAGGCTGTGAGCACCATATGCTTTCAGGCAAACCTGAAAAGCACCGGCGTTACGATCTGAGTCACAATTTAAAGAAATGTCCTTTTGGACGTAACGCAGCTGCAGCAGATTCACAAAACAGACAAACACCTGTTAATATCTTCCGCAAGCGAGCGGAGGTCTTTCATTCCACACAAACAGCAATAAAGGGATTCATAGCCTCGCAAAATCGTGACGCATGTCAAGCTGACATCTGAACCATGATTTGGCCATAATTTCCTTATAGCAAGCAGTGGCAGCTTCTCCGCTTTCTTACTCTTTTATTTGAATCTGAAAGAATCTGAATGTATATCCACACTGATCTGGTCAGCAAAGACCTGCCTTTGACTGTCATGTTTTTTTTTCTAACAAGTAATTTGAGGAGAAATTTCTAACTTTATAAAGGACCTGTGTGAAAATCCTGACTTTCTAGCTGATGCTTCTATTTTCATATCAAGTCTACTTTTCCATCTATGAGCAACGGGTGATGTGAGGATAAACAGGGAGGGATCAGATCTTTCCAAATGCTGCAAAAAGCAAACAAACACATCGTAGCCTCAAAGTAAGTTTTGATAAGGGGACTTGGTGCATGTCAAAACATCAATGATTACTAGTTAATAGTCTTAAATCCCACAAGTCTCTATGTAAACACAACTAGTAGGAGCCTGACATTTTATGTCAAAATGACGTTGATGTACTTTAGTCCATACAAAGACAATATACAACTACAGATCACAACATAATTGTACAATAACCTCATTTGAGGCAGCAAAGGTTTATGCCATTTACTGCCCGTTCTCTCCAATCCTCAACCCCATTAAAAGATCTTTATACACCCACTTAATATATGACTCCTTTTGCATGATTACAAAAACAAAACAATAAAAGCACCCCAACACCCACACACACACTCTCTCGCACAGGAAATACTGGGCATTTGTCTAACAGCTAATCACCCTTAATTGTGTGCTAATAGTGAAAGCAATACAGGGAAGGAGGAGTCGAGCGGGAGGGGAGAAAAAGAAAATAAACAACGGCAGTAGGAAAGGGAAAAGGCCAATTTCAACCGAAAAAATATTAATGTAATCAAGGCAAATTAGTAGGTTTGGGATAACATTCCTATGGCGCGGTGTGTTTATTTTGCAAGCAAGAAACGGAAAGTAGGTACAACAGAGGGACGGCACGGAGAAGGCAAAGGGCCGAGCTAGACTTGCCTACCAAACTTCATGAATGCTTGCACTGTAAATGCTACTATTTTCTCAACTTTACTGTTTATTGGAACTGAGCTGCATATTATGCATAAGTTGTCACAAGCTTAGGCTCTGAAAAAATAAAGCTCAGATGACTATCAAGCCACAGCTCTAAAAATGAATGCATTTGTTTTGTTTCAGTCAATCATATCGGCATGGGATGTCTGCAAAATTTGTCAAATTCAGGGCAAACAGTGGATATGCTTCGGTGAGTGGTGTTCAGTGACCCTGACTGCCATGCCCATTCAAATTCAATGGTGTAGAGAACAGAGATTTAGCCGGGGGG